CACCCCCCCCCCCCCCCCCCCCCCCCCCGGACCATTTGCAGCCTGGTCCCAATGGGTGCCGCCCAGATTTTGGGCTCAGGCTTCTATTTTAGTGCTTCTTACACAATTTGGACACCGCGTGCTCAGCCTGCATCACCAGGGCACTCAGGCCATGGGTTTCCCCACCCTGGGGTGGGGGGGGGGGGGAATGAAGGAAGCCTTTTTAGCCCCCCCCCGGGTGGGCCCCCCACCCTACATGTCCGGGGAAGGGGTGGGAGTGGGAGCTGAGGGGGGTTGGGGGTTACCTGGAGCCATTTTGGCCACGCTGGGTGGTTCTGGATGTCCTCTTCGGTGCTGTCCCCATCTCAGATAAAGGGACAGGCTGAGGGGGGTAGCGGGGCATCGGTGACCTGGGGACACACTGCTGAGGGACTGGGTACAGGCAGAGCAGAGCAGGGGTGTCGTGGAGGCACCTGGGGACACAGGGATGCTATGGGGGGGCAGTGCTGGAACGCAGGCTGGCCATGGGGGTGAACTGTGGGGGGTACGGAGACAAGGACAGGCCCCAAAATGCTGCTCCCCCTCCCCTACTGACTGTGCCACAAGCAGGAGGCCGCACAGAAAGCGCTGAGAGCACAGGCAAGCAGTGCAGGGGACAAACAACACGGAGGACCCACGACATGCTCACACCAGGGGAGCCTCTTTGTCCCCACCTTTCAACTCTCATCCTACTGGAAACCCCCTTCCCCATCCCACTACGGCCCCCATTTTGCTGCTGTCCCCTATCGGCGATGCCAAGCAGTTCCCCTCCCCAAAAGCGACAGGACACCACGCACACTCACAAGCCACATTATTTCCAAAACGTTTTTAAAAACCTATTGCTACAATCATTCCCTGCAGCAGATACCAAGCAGGCGCTGCCTTTGCTTGCACCGTGGTTCCCCTGGTCCTAGCGGGGAGGTGGGCACCACCTCGGCTGTGCCACCACCCTCCTTGGTCTGTTCTGCTCCCTCTGGCCCGGCCCCTTCACGAGGTGTCCTGTTGTCACCGTCGCTGCAGCAGGACCCACACCTTCGCTCCAGTTTGGGGTTGCAGTCAGAGCAGCGCTGGGGGGGGGAAAGAGAGCAAGACAAAGGAGTCAGGGTGGGCAGCACCTTGTGGAGGGCACTCTCTGCCCCACACACTCCTACCTGTCTTCTTGGAGGGGCAGCTCGCTCACAGTGGCGTTGAGGATAAACGGTGCAGCTTCCTCCAGCTCGCTGACCTCTGCAAAGGGCAACAAGAAAGCGCTGTGCCAGCCTTGGAGGGGCACGGGGGGAGGCATCATTTGGCACCCTAAGGACACTCACCTGCCTCCCAGTCCTCTTGGCACGGTGGGGCCTGCCAGGCCACAGGGACCTTGGGTTGCTTTGCCTGGTCACCGGCGCACGCGGACGACCCTTTGGGCACAGAGAGCACAGTAGGGACGTGTGTCTGAGTGAGGGGGGTCCGAGCTGCAGCTGGGGAGCGGCCGGCCGTGTACCCTGAGAGTCGAAGAGCAGGCGCTGGTCGGGGCAGCAGGCAATGTGTCTCTGCAGCTCGGCTCGTGGGATCCTGTGCCTGGCGTTGAAAGGGCAGATCTCCATCGAACGAGCCACCTGCGGGTTGTTCTGGGGGAAGCGAAGGAGGAGAAGGCGCTGAGCGCGTGAAGGGAGGCCGGGCCTGCATCGCGCATCTCGGCCCCGCGGCGCCCCGCTCACCCGCTGGCACTTGACGAGATGGTAAGGCAGCCGGGACACCCGGATCTGGTGCGCCTTGTCGTAGGGACACTGGACGAGCGCCTCGGGGTCCATCTTAGGCTCCGCGTCAGCCTCCAGCGGCCTCCTACCGGCCACCAAGCCCCGCGCTCCCACCCCCAAACGGCCCCGCTCATCGTCATGGCAACGCGGCCTAACTTCCGCCGCAGCCTGCGCCGCTCCCACTTCCGCCGCCGGGGGTCGCCATGGCAACGCGGCCTAACTTCCGCCTCGGCGCCGGGGTGGGGGCAGCTGAGAGTTGTTTTAGGGCTCCGGTGGGATTACGGGGCTCGGAGTGGTGCTGTGCGGGCGCTGCAGGGCGTTTTGTGAATCTGCGGGGCGCACCGTGGGCCTGAAGGGTGCTACTTAGCCCTGGGTGGGGTTTCATAGGCTCTAGGTTGCGTTGTGGGACCCTGTGTGGTGCAGCGTGGGCCCTGTGTGGTGTTATGGGGCCCCAGAGGGCGTTGTGTGGGTGCAGGAGGATCTTATGGGGCCCTGTGTGGTGCTTTTTGCATCACGTGTGTTGGCATGCGGTCCTGCATGGTGCTATAGGGCCCTGTGTGATGCTAATCGGGTCCTGGGTGGTGCTGTATGGATCCTGCAGGGTGTTGTGTGCAACCTACAGGTGGCCGTATGGGTCCTGGAAGGTGCTGTGTGAGCGTTGCGAGGAGTTGTAAGGGCCTTGAGGGCTGGTGTGTGGGTCTGTGTGGCGTTACGCAGTCCTGAATGCTGTCACATGGGCTCTGAATGGTGTTACATGGCTTTGGATTGTGTCGTACCACCCTACAAATGGCTCTGGGTGTTGCTGCATCGCTGTGAGTGGTGTTACGTGATCCAGGATGATGACACAGGGCTGAGGCTGGTGTCAAAAGACCATGGCTGATGCCGTGTGGCCCTGGCCAGCACTACGTGGCTGTGACCAGTGTCACACAGCGATGGCCTCCGCTCTGCCTGTGACCAGTGTTACAGGGTGGCAGCCAGTGCTACGTGTCACCGGCTTTGGTGGCATCCCAGGGCGGCGGCGTCACACGGTGGCGGCGTCACGTGGCCGTGGCCACAGCCCAGGAAGTTGAAGAAGAAGGGGAAGTTGGTGCTGGGGGTGAGGGGCAGATCAGGGACAAGGGGACGTGGGGTGGCCTCCCCCCCTCCGTTACGCTGCAGGCATGTCGCTGCCCTCCGTCTACCAGAACAAGTTTGCTGAGAAGCTGACGATCCTCAACGACAGGGGCCGGGGCGTCCTCATCCGCATCTACAACATCAAGAAGGTGTGGGGTGGAGCCATGAAGAAATGGAGGCTGCTGGGCTGTGGCGGGGGGTGTGGAGGGGTTTTGGGGGCCCTAATTTTAAGGTATCCCTGCAGAGCTGCTCGGACCCCAAGACACGGCCGTCCTTCCTCTGTGACAAAGCTATGGAGCCCTCCGTCAAGTTCATCAACAAGAAGTTTCCTAACCTGGACGTGAGGAGCAGCACGGTGAGGGACACTGCTGCCCTAACCCTGTGTCACATCCATCCTGATTCTTCTTTTGTCGTGTGTCCCTTCCTTGTCCTGCCCCCACGTCGCCCTGCTTTGAGTCGCCCCATTTTGTGTCATTGCTGCTTGGCTTCTCCTCCACCCCCCCCCCCATCCCATGTCACCCCAACCTTTTGTGTCCCTGCCGTGTCACCCTATCTGGATGTTCCCTTCTATCCCTTGCAGCAATACCTGGGACCGGTGCACAAGGATAAGGGGGACATCGTCCGTGTGCTGGGACCCTATTACTACTCCTTTGTGGATGTCCTGGAATTCAGGGTGAGCTGGGGGGCAGTGCTGGCATTTCGGACGGGGGGGGGACAGCAGTGACGTGTCGTCTCCTTGTCGTCTCCCTTGCAGGACCACGTCTATGAGTTGCTGAACACCATTGATGCCAACCAGTGCTTCTTTGACATTGTGAGTGACACCCAGGGGGTGCCAGGAAGTCCCCAGGGGAGTTGGAGGTGCTCGCAGGGTTTATGGGGTGCACTTTAGGGGGGGTGATTGGTGCAGCCCATGGCTAAGGCCATATATCCTCACAGTTTCCTTGTCCCTAGCACGTCAACTATGACTTCACCAAGAGCTACCTGGACCTGATTGTCACCTACGTGTCCCTCATCCTGCTGCTGGCTCGCACTGAGGACCGCCGGCTGCTCATTGGCATGTACCACTGTGCTCACGAGATGAGCCACGGTGCCAGGTGAGCTGGCTGTCCCTGTGGGCTGTCCCCTGTGGGGCTGTCACTGAGGACTGTCCCCAACACGTGTGTCATTGTCTCTGCAGCGATTCCAGCTTTGCCCGCCTGGGCCAGATGGTGTTGGAATACGACCACCCCCTGAAGAAGCTGACAGAGGAGTTTGGGCCACACACCAAGGTGGGCTGGGAGCTCCAGAGGGTTCTGCAAGCCAGCAGGGCTGCGTCCATCCCCTGCACCGCGCCTTGACCCATCCTACGACGTCCCCTGTCCTCCAGGCTGTCACCAGTGCGCTCCTGTCCCTCCATTTCCTCTTTGCACGGAGGAACCAGGGCTGTGAGCAGTGGCGCAGTGACCAACTCCTCAGCCTGCTCAGCACTGCTGGCACCATGCTGAGCCCTGCCAGCTCCGACACCGTGAGTGCTGCCGCTCAGTGGGGACGTTGGGATGCCACCTCGGGGAGGGGGCGGGAGGGCAGAGCGGTGACACCGACGCCTGCGTCCCCAGATGGCCTGCGAGTACCTGTCCCTGGAGGTGATGGAACGCTGGATCCTGAGTGAGTCCTCACACTGCCCACAGATCCCCCCCCCCCTGTGTTCCAGTGGTGTCTGACTGCTCTCTGATATCTGTGCCCAACAGTGGGGTTCCTGGTGTGCCCGGGGGCTCTGGGGACGTCCCCGCAGTGCCTGGAGCTGTGGAGGTTGGCACTGCAGGGCTCACTCTACGTCACCCTCCTCCGTGACGAGGCCCTACAGATCCACAAGGTCACCGAGGAGCTGCTCAGCAGCCTCAAGGGGTAAACGGCTGCCCCCCGGGCTTGGGGTCTCTAATGGGGGCTCTGCTGGGCACCCAGAGGCTGCCTGGTATGTGGCACTGCCCAGCTGTGTTCCTTTTGCAGCTATGGCAAGCGGGTGGCTGATCTCAAGGAGTGCAAGGAACACGCCGTGGCTCACAGGTCAGGGGGCTCAAAGGGCTGGGGAGGGTCCCAGAGCGCCGGGAGACCCAAAGGTTTGGAAAGACCTGAGGGCTCCCAACACGTCCCAGAGAGCTGAGCGTCAAGGGGGATGGCTGGGATCCCAATCTGTATCGACCCCATAGCACAGCTCCCACCTTTGCCACGTGGTGCCTGCAATATCCCTGCTGGGTGAGCGGGGTGGCCGGAGGGGGGGGTGGTGGTGGTGGGGGCTTTGAGCCCCTCCGTGACCCTCCTACAGTGGATCCCTGCACCGGGGTCGGCGGGTTTACCTGCGTGGGGCCGTGCGTGAGCTTGAGGCGCTGCTGGAGGATCAGCCTGGGCTGCTGGGACCCAAGGTGAGCACAAGGGGAAGGGGACAACGTAGGGGGACAGGGAGAGGGGAACGCTGTCACGGAGGCGGGTGGCCGTGAGGGACGTGATGAGGCACGGGGTGTCAGAGCTCTGTGGTGACATTTCGAGTCTGGGTGCAGCTCAGGGCTGTGGGTGCCAGGCCAGTGGCAGCACCAGGTGCCCTCTGACGGGGTCTGCTGTGCCCAGGCTCTCTTCGTCTTCATGGCACTCTCGTTCTGCCGAGATGAGGTGAGCTGGTTGGTGAGGCACGCTGAGCACGTCACCAAAACCAAGACGCCGGAGGACTTTGCTGACAAGTAAGCGTGGTGCCA